ACTTTCATATATTTATATATTATATATATATATATATATATATATATATATATATTGGTAAACACATCACGGTATTTCGAATTTTTTAAAATCGGAGTTTTAATGGAATGTGAAAGGCATTCAAAGGAAATCTTGCCTGCAAACAACTACCAAAGATTCCAGATTTAATTTATACAAATTTTGTTTGGCCAACTAAATGGTGCAATTTTATATTAAGAATATGTTACACACGAGGGTACGTGGAAAAAAATTATGAATTCTTTAACAATTTTATCTACTTAAGTTATAAGATAATATGTGAAATTTTATAAATAAAAATATAGTATTTTTTCTCAACATTATAGTAGAAGTGTCGAAAATATCTGGATTCGGATTTAAGTTTTTCGGCAAAAAAAAATTGGATTTTCAAGTCGGGTTTAATTCGGATTTTGGTCTGATCCAAGCGAAATTGAATGGATAGGTCCGCCCGACCGATCCGAGTCCAAATTTATAGGATCGATCTTCGGGTTTGATTATATAGACTCAAAAAAAAAAAATCATACCTCAAATGTATAGAAATCGATCTTCATCTCATTTCCTATGTATTTTACATGTTTTCGTATGAAACTCAAACCCATACAAGAAAATGAGAATCAAATTTCGTCAACTAATTCATCAGATTTGTTGTTAAGCCCTAATTTTTTTTGGTTAAAATTTTAAACCCTAAATTACCGAATTCGAATGTCCTTACATTATAATTAAACTATTTCAATATGAAATAAAACTTATTTTAAAACTTATTTTTAAGGAACGCCTTAGGAACTTAATATCTGGCGTCGCATATATTTCAATGGACAAGCTTTTGAATAGCGGATGTAAACTTAGTCCTAATTTTTTGAATTAATATTATTTTGATTTATATATAATTAATAAAATCGATTTAATCTACTCTATGTTTTCAATGTATTATTATTTCCATCAATAATAATTTTTTTCAAGGACCACTATAGTTTATAATAGATATAGGGTAAACAAATTTCTATTCTGACATAGATATACAGTACAAATAAATATCTATAAGATATCCAAATAATATTATGCACACGAAATTCTAATATTTTAGTACATACCCTTCAATAATAATATATGTTAATATAAGTTTGATATCATCAAGAACTATGAATTTCTAATGTTTTCCGTGTTCTAAGTCCTTAGACACTTGCAATAAACACGAAAATTAATATCTAGAAAAAAATAAAATCAAAATAAATTACAAAAAGGGTTGTAATACGAAAATTAAACGTACGTTTTTTCACCATATACAAGTTACCGTTACCATACTATATAACTTTTGCCAATGGTGTGTGTGCGCGCATCAGTAGACTTCAACGTTCCATTGCTCTGCTTTCTTCATTTGCTTCTTGTACTCAATCCAATCAATCCCTAACCAAAAATCGCCCGGAAAAATCGATAATTTATCGGATTTCAACTATACAACGAGATCGTATTATACGATATCGCATCACATTCGTTCTGTAATTCAGTAAAGACGAAGGGAAATGCGAGAATTTACCGTCTCTGGCAGCTAAGCTAACCATAATGTCATCAATGCCTTTCTCCATGCCCTTGAGTCCACACATGTAGATATAAGTGTTGTCCTTCTTCAGCAGTTCCCATAGCTCGTCTGCATATTCCGCCATCCGGGTCTGGATGTACATTTTCTCGCCTTTCTCGTTTGTTTGTTCTCTGCTTATTGCGTAGTCGACCCTAAAATTCTCGGGGGCCTTTGCCTTCATCTTGTCAAACTCCTGTTTCAATCACAAAGGCTCGGACTTTAGAAAGAGACGAGAGGGCATAGTAGAATCCGGGGATTGGAAAATCATAAAGTCGAGAGCTTTTGCCTCTTGGTAGAGTAAGGAGCTAGTGGTGGGCACACCCAAGAACAGCCAAGCCAAGCCATTGAACTGCATTACCATTCATACACGAAATATATCCAAGATGATGCAATGCGTTTTAGATTTTGGTAGAGTAAACACGTACGAATTCAAGATCATTTTTCAGAATTCACCTCGTAATCACTGTGTTTCTCAAAGAACATCTTCCACAAGAAAGAACGGAAAGGAGCAATCCCCGTCCCGGTCGCGAGCTGCGTCCAAGGAAACGAGTTATGATGAGCAATGGTGTTAAACACAAGAAAAAAACCCGTAGAGAAATAAGGATTATCGTGAAGTATATACTATTGAGCTTAAAACTAAAAGCTGAAATAAACTTATCAGAGACCATAATAACGGTGGCATTTGGATCCTTAGGCATAAGCATTTCTTTCCCAAGAGGTCCGGTGATCTTAACGTCAGCTCCAGGCTTCAAGTCACCTGAAAGGAGAATTTACGAGTAGAGTAGCTGGAGAAAATGAAGCGAAGCCTGAGACTTTATGCAGTCAACAAGCTAATTGATCACTTAATCACTTAATCTCCTCAAGTTAATGCGAAAAATCTCCGACCCAAATGAGAAATTAGTGTATTCTTACACAAGAAGTTCGAGCAAACTCCTTTAACGATCTCGCCTTGCTCGTTGGTGTAAACAAGCCTTTTCACACACAAAGAGACCTGCAGTGACTCGTTCAGTTTATTCCGCCAAACGACATCATCATTTCGGAAAATCGAGAAAAAACCCATCATCGAGAAACTTGTCCCTTACGCTTTTGGAATCGCCGAGATCTCCTATAGCACTGCTGGCTATGGAGTACAGTCTGACCTTGTGAGGCTTTCCATTCTTGTCGATACCATCCGGGATGACACCAATGGATTGCCCTTCTCTGTATGGTATTTCTCCTATTACAAAACATGTATCGAAGCATATCATCAATGAAAGAGATGAATTTCAGAACTAAAAAGTCAAAGGCTTTGTGATGAGAGGAGATTCAAGCCACCTTCTGTGGTGAAAACCATGTGCCATGTCTCTCCAGGTGCATCATCTGCAGTGATTTTGGTGTTGAGAAGGCATTTGCCAGTGTAAGGTTCCTTTGGCCTGTACTTGTTAACCACAACACCTTCCTCGTTCTTCTTGGAAACCTTCTCTGCTTTCGCAGGAGCTTCTGCTGCCACTTGAGCCCTAATGGAAACTAATCTTTTGCCTGTAGAGGCATTGCTTCTGTTGTAGCAAGCACCCTGTAGAAACAATATCAAGAACCCATCACCCAAAAAGTTTCTATAATCTTCTTTTTTTTCCCTTTTGATCTTTACGATTTTCACCACATCGATCTTCCAAAGTTAGCCACATTCAAGCTTTGCCGAAAATTTCCAAGAAAATTACACAGATTGTGTAGGAGTCGATCATCTAAACCAGTTATCAGCGAAAGAACAATGAATGATAAGGAAACATCGACCAATTTCTACTCTTCATCATTCTCAACGATTCCACATAGAACCAAGTAGGCGACTTGCCCAAGTTTCGAACTTTAAGAAGTGTCCTAAGAACAAATACCAGATTATGAGCAAAACCCAGAAGCCGATTGGTTCTAAATCCAATAACCCATTACTGGAAGAGAGAAAAATTGTTGCCTAAACTTGATTTTTTTTTTTGGGCATGAAGAAAACAACAATACCTTGCCAAATCTGATTATCTCAGGGGCGATCGAGAAGCTTGTGGCGGGGGGAGAGGAAGGGGGGGGAGTTCTAAATCCAATAACCCATTACTGGAAGAGAGAAAAATTGTTGCCTAAACTTGATTTTTTTTTTTGGGCATGAAGAAAACAACAATACCTTGCCAAATCTGATTATCTCAGGGGCGATCGAGAAGCTTGTGGCGGGAAGAGAAGAGGAGTTGGAAGATGTGAGAGAAACAGAAGAGTAGAGAGTAGCCGCCATTGATGACATCAGAAGAAAATGCAAAGGGGCAGGGGAAGAATCTGCGGAGGTTATAAGAGGGATGGAAGAGAGAGATAAGAAGAAGAGTGAAGGACATGGTGTTTGGGTGGACAAGGTTGAAGAAGAAAGTATCCTGTGGAAGTTAGTGGTGATTATGGTTTCTCGAATTTGGCCTTCTAGATTTTCATGAAGATGACTCTATTTTTTTTTTCAATTATAAAGTTAATTCACCTCACACCTAGTTGATTCCAAAACTAAACCAAAACATTTGCCACCACCGGTTTATTGAATTCAAGATGTCCGGTTTAGTTTGGTTCGGTACTTCAACTCATGATCCCGATTGGACCGGTTTTTCTTGCTCCCTGGACCTTACAGCTTGGAATAGTCAATTTAGTTAAGATTTAGTCGATCTGTTTCATTTTATTGTCGGTTCGAATTGTAGTTTTTTTTCCCGATTACACAGAAAACAATATTGGGATACAACAAAAGGCCAATCAAGGTTGAAACGGTATTATATCAAAAATACCCTCCATTTACTATTTTGATTTCAAAACATACCATTTTTCAACTGTGATCATGTGATCCATATGATCCGAAATATAATCTTGGTCACATTGGTGATAATATTAAATTTTTAATATTTTTATCAAATAATTAATGAGATATATAAGGTATGAATATAATGAATAAATATGATCATCATAAATTTAACGTTATGATAAATTGACCAATATTATATTTCGGTCATAGAGACACAATTGAAGAAGGGTATGTCTTGAAGTCAAAATAGCAAAATGGAGGGTATTTTTGATAATGTACCGATTGAAATGTTGGTATTTTTCATAAATTATATATTTTTAACAAAAAATAAAAATATAAGCGTGTTTTAATTTATGGAAAAAATGGCCTAGACTTTATTATCAGCTTTGGTTTCACAGGTTAATTCGTTTGGGAGTTAAAAACGAAATGAAAATTGAATTCATTAAAAGCTTCGACGTTTCTTTTAGTGGTAAAACAAGAGAGAATAAATTTCACGTTATCTATGGATACAGTAATCGGAATTTGAACATATTAGGTTGGAATCGAGCGCATATTCAAAATTTCAAATTTCCGGCTACGCTGTTGTCACCCGCAAACAGAATGTTTCCGGTTTTCGATTGAAAAACCAATCGGTAGAAAAATAACCGTCTGCAACCGCAACAAAACTCATAATTTTCGCCCGCAAACGCAAACGCTCGTCTTGACCGATTCATGACGTTTGATTAAAATGACAAAAATACCCTTTGCCTCTATAGATTGCATTCACTCTCTACCTTTGCCTCTTCTGATAACTCGATCCTTCGTTGTATTTTTCTGAAAATATATGATTAATTATTATTGTGTGTGTGTCTATGCAGCGATTGGTCTCAAATCCAGATTGTTGAAAAATGAAATTGATTCATGAAAATCTTCTGATGAGAAATTTCAATATTTTTAATCTCAATTTCGGTACAAGTTGTAAATAAAATAGATGAATTAAAAAGTGTTAAATAAATAAAAAAAATTATTTAAAAACATGCAGTATTCTCTTCTTTTAACCCATTGTTTTCCCGTCTCTTCTTGGTATCCAGCAGCAAGGTTCACTGCATTGCGTAGATATGATATGATACGATATAATATAATATTGTCACTTAATCAATGTGCCATGCATGACATTGACAATGTAACAACACTTTTATTGGGTTTTTTGTTTTTTGTTTTTCTAATGCGAACGTTAGAAACTTAAGAATGGAGTTTGGGCCATGAGCGTGACATATAAACCCTAGCAGTTGCAACTTCAATTTCTCCATCCAAAGGTTCCAAAATCGAATTGGACATTGACAGTTTATATTCGAAAAGTTAATAAGATTATTTACAAAATTCTTAAGGTTTATCCATAATCCCAAATCAAACCCCATAATACATATAAAAGATTTATAACCTAAACAACTAGATAATCAGAAATTAACTCAAACAAAGCCGAAACCAAATCCAAATAAAATATGAAGAACGAATAAAAATCATTTTTTGTTCAAATAAAAAATTCAAAATCGAAAATAATGGAACCAAACTTAAACCGAAACCCGATTTGATCTGCAAGGAGGAATTACAGAAGGTCATGAAGAGGGTAAATAAAAAAAAAAATTGAGGAAGAAAATATCATCAGAGAACATTGGATTCGATGCATCACATGATTTGTCTCAGACGACCGTCGTGAGAATAATTGATCCAATCTCATCATTTGATTCCAACTTATCAACCAACCATATCATCTTATTAAAAAAAAAAGGACAAGTGACGGAAACTGGTGTTTAAAAAAAAAACTCAGAAAAAAAAAAAAAGAGAGGAGACGAATTACCAGAGAGATGCATCTACGACAAGGACGAACGGAAGCCTTTTAACAGTGACGAGTTAAAAGAGGAGTATTAGGGTTTTGGTTGGGAGACAAAACGACGTCGTTTTAGTTAATGGGCCTCATAATATTGGCTTTAGGCCCAGCCCATAAAAAACGAACTGAATCAAAACAAATAAAAAATTATAAAAAAAAACGATATTTTTTTTACAAAATTTTTTTTTATTAGAAAAGTTAAATCCGAACCGAAACGAAACGAAACGAAATTTATAAAAAAAATTAAATGGTTATAACTTTTTTATAATTGAAATCGAAATCGAAATAGTCACCCTCGCGTCACATATTTCATATTTTGAAAAACTGAAAATATCCAAAACTGTGACATCTGCGCTATTTTTTAAATATTAATCCAAAGAGACAAATTGCTAACATGTTCTTGGTCTTACACTTTAATTTAATAATTTCAAATATACATATTTAAAAACCATATATGAACAAAAATAACGTGCTTCCCTTCCATTATGCTCCTTTCTATATTAACTTTATTATATAAAATTATAAAATATACGTTGGGTAATCTTTGGAAATTAATGAGATTTGATTTATTGTTACCTCATATATATGTGGACTAAATCTTAGATCTTTTTAACATGGAGCTACATGTGCTATGTAGGTTCTTGCAATTATTTTACATAAATTATTTACACACACACACACACACACACAAGTGCTTCTCTCTCTATATGTGGTATGGTTCTCGTGTGTGTAAATCTTTATGTAAATTCACTCCAATGCATAGAGATAACCGTAATTGTGTAAAATTACTACAAAATATGTTATTTTTCAGTGAAAATAAATAAATTTAAAAAATATATATAATTTAAACACGATACTCATTTCTATATTAAATTTTTTATACCATCTTAATGTACCCTGATTTATAACCTAAACAACTAGATAATCAGAAATTAACTCAAACAAAGCCGAAACCAAATCCAAATAAAATATGAAGAACGAATAAAAATCATTTTTTGTTCAAATAAAAAATTCAAAATCGAAAATAATGGAACCAAACTTAAACCGAAACCCGATTTGATCTGCAAGGAGGAATTACAGAAGGTCATGAAGAGGGTAAATAAAAAAAAAAATTGAGGAAGAAAATATCATCAGAGAACATTGGATTCGATGCATCACATGATTTGTCTCAGACGACCGTCGTGAGAATAATTGATCCAATCTCATCATTTGATTCCAACTTATCAACCAACCATATCATCTTATTAAAAAAAAAAGGACAAGTGACGGAAACTGGTGTTTAAAAAAAAAACTCAGAAAAAAAAAAAAAGAGAGGAGACGAATTACCAGAGAGATGCATCTACGACAAGGACGAACGGAAGCCTTTTAACAGTGACGAGTTAAAAGAGGAGTATTAGGGTTTTGGTTGGGAGACAAAACGACGTCGTTTTAGTTAATGGGCCTCATAATATTGGCTTTAGGCCCAGCCCATAAAAAACGAACTGAATCAAAACAAATAAAAAATTATAAAAAAAAACGATATTTTTTTTACAAAATTTTTTTTTATTAGAAAAGTTAAATCCGAACCGAAACGAAACGAAACGAAATTTATAAAAAAAATTAAATGGTTATAACTTTTTTATAATTGAAATCGAAATCGAAATAGTCACCCTCGCGTCACATATTTCATATTTTGAAAAACTGAAAATATCCAAAACTGTGACATCTGCGCTATTTTTTAAATATTAATCCAAAGAGACAAATTGCTAACATGTTCTTGGTCTTACACTTTAATTTAATAATTTCAAATATACATATTTAAAAACCATATATGAACAAAAATAACGTGCTTCCCTTCCATTATGCTCCTTTCTATATTAACTTTATTATATAAAATTATAAAATATACGTTGGGTAATCTTTGGAAATTAATGAGATTTGATTTATTGTTACCTCATATATATGTGGACTAAATCTTAGATCTTTTTAACATGGAGCTACATGTGCTATGTAGGTTCTTGCAATTATTTTACATAAATTATTTACACACACACACACACACACACAAGTGCTTCTCTCTCTATATGTGGTATGGTTCTCGTGTGTGTAAATCTTTATGTAAATTCACTCCAATGCATAGAGATAACCGTAATTGTGTAAAATTACTACAAAATATGTTATTTTTCAGTGAAAATAAATAAATTTAAAAAATATATATAATTTAAACACGATACTCATTTCTATATTAAATTTTTTATACCATCTTAATGTACCCTTTTTTTTTTTTGATTTTCCATCTTAATGTACCTTGTTTTGGCAAGATGTGTACATCGTGTGGTGATCGTTTCTCCAATCTCCAAATTTATGTAATAATGAACGAATACCAAATCAGAAATTTAAATAAAAATATCATTAAAACCTATGAATTAAAAAGACGAAGTATTGTGAAAAACAAAATTATCACTGCGAATATTTGTTTGATCCCTAGAGAAAAAAATCCCACACATTTTCAGAAATATTAACCCATTAGAAGAGACGATTGGCTTTGTACTATTATTTAGCTATAATTAAACTTGAATAATTCAATCGGGTGAAATAAAACTACAAAGTGTTATTTAGCTAAGTTCGAAACTCAAATTTGGATAAAAAAATATACATTTCGAATCAAATAATTGATTCTAAATCCTAAAATTAGACTAGATCCTGTTCTAAAATGCTCGAATTACTAAAAGAAATTATTTAGCCACATATACCATGGAAATAGAGTAATATTTTATACAAAATTTAAAAGTGTCGTATTCATAATTATCATAATTATACAGAACATCTCGTTTTCTGTCCAAAAAAATTTAATTACATCTATAATATGAATGAAATAAAAATAAATAAATAAAAAGGGAGAGCGTAGGGTATACTGAATCACAGGGAATAAAATCTCAGAGTAGAGAGAGAGAGAGCGGTAATAGCTGGCAGACCTATCTTCCCCCGCTGTCAACTTGTCACTACACGACCCCTCAAAAAAAAAAAAAAAAAAAAAAAAAAACAGTACCACCCT